TATATATATGACACTCTTCATTGTAGTAGCATATGTGGCACCTGGCATAAATATTTTTTCGGACAAATGGGAGTAAACTAAGTCTTCCTCTTATTTCGTCCTCCTCGTCTTCACTAGCCCTTCATGGCTCTCCTCCTTCGGTCTTCGTGCCCGCCGATCTGTTCTGCAGTCCCTGCAGTGCTCTTTAACCGCAGGCGTCTTGCTTACGCCGCTCCACAGTCGTCGCTCTCCGCCGGCGATATGGCGAGGAGCAGCGGCGCTGAGTTCTTCCAAGACGACACCAGACCCATCATGCTCTTCGATGGTAAAGCTATATTTGAGTCCTCAGTATTTATGCCTGCAAACTGTTTGTTTGTTTTCCTCACCCTGGTTTTAAATGTATCCCTCCAATTTGTGCTAGGCGTGTGCAACCTTTGCAACGGGGGCGTCCGGTTCGTGAGAGAGAACGACCGCAATAGGTTCGGTTCTGTGTTGATTTCCTTATTTTTACATACATACCAGCCAACTCTTATGTATTTACATATCTAACATGTAAACTTTGGTTTTTATATTCATACTGCCTAAATCTTTGTCACATAACAAATATCACTATTTTACCTTTTATTTCACATATTAAGGTGGTGTTTGGCTGCATGTTAGATTTACGTTAAATAAGATTAATTAAATCTGATAAATTTGGATTTATCAAATCGAGTCGGTGAAAGATAGAGATTGCGAACGATGGCGGAATAAATCTGGCTCAAAATTGGATTTATGAAATCCAGATTTACCTCTCAAACTGACAGAATGCAAGGAGAATTAGATGGAACGCAAGAAATTTAGATTTTACTGAGCGCTGGATTTATTTATTTGGTATTTGGTTGGATTTAAGCTAAATTCATGATTAAATCCTATAAATAATACACTACTAAACTCTGTCTAAAATATAGACAACGTGATTGTACAATAAAAATATGTCAGCACAGATCTCAAGGCAGAACAAACTATTTAGAAGTATGACGTGATCGATCGACATTCTTGTTAGCAATCGAATGATTAATTCTAGCAAGGAAGGTGTTTGGATGATCGACCGTAAGTACGTGCTAAAGGATTTCCTACTAGATGATGATTGACCTTAAAACCAATCAGTAGATTGTTGAGTTTTAGATAAAATATCAATGGAGTTAAGGTCAGACGAATGGTCGACGAACTTCTTGCCGACTGACATCAATTCGCCAGTTTTATTATATTCAAATATCTTTGTAATTACTAAAAAACCCCTCTAAAAGCTAATGATGGTGGGACTGGCTTGTAATTATGTATCTTTTGACTCTCTCTGCACAATATTCTATGCATTGGATGTGTTTCCCAGCACTTTTGGATTCAAAAATGACATATATGTCAAAATTGAAGTTTAGGTATTGGATGTGTAAATACATATGAGTTGAGTGTTATGTATGTAAATCTTTCTTTTTATTTTATGTTATCTATTGTTAAATGGTGGGGCATTTACATTTACATAAATACCACTCAATACTTATGTATTTACACATCTAACACTAAAACTTTAGTATTTACATTTATATCACTCAAATTTTTCATATCACATAAAAATGTCATCATTTTAAATTTTAAAAGTTGAATTGCACCTTTTTCATGCGTAGGGAAGGTGGCATGTATGCAAAAATTGAAGTTTAGGTGTTAGATATGTGAATAAATAAGAATTCTGTGGTATTTAGGAAAAATTGGTGAGAGAACTGCATATCAAGTTTTGCACATCCTTAGATTTGTGCTCAGAGCATTTTATGAATTGTATAAGTGTTTTTCAAACTTTTAATTCTTCCGGCTTGATGATCAAGACACATGTCCTTTGGCGATGAGTTAATGTTTTACAATCTTGTCTTCTAAAGTTCTCAATTAAAGTTTTGTATTTGCTTCTTCTAGAGCTCCGCTCACTTTATGTAAAGAAATCCAACCATGTGTTTTGAAATATTTTAAAGAAACTAGGCCAAATCTCAATAACCTAGTTTGCTTTTGCTTCCTATTCACCTCATGAAATCCCTTGAAAAAATCCTATGAACTCTTCAACTCAAACAAAACATCCCCACACCTCTGCCAAGTGTTTCCAATCATTTGTCATAAGAAAATTTTAAGGAAATAGGGCCAT